GCTGTGTGACCCTGGGTAAGTCACTTAACCCCAGTTGCCTAAACAAAAAAAAAATTCTTTCCTTCATAGCACTCAATTCTCTTCCTTTTTGCACTCTAGAACCTTGATTTAATTAAAAAAAACATTTCGACTCTTTAATTCTTGCTTCATCTCTCCTAGGAATTTTAGTTGAATTTTTGCCTTGACTGTGTGTGTTTTTTTTTTTTTTGAAGCTTTGTTTATAAATGTTTTGTTTGGAGTCATTCTCTTTTCTGGGTTTATGTCTTGTGGCCCTGTTACTGAAATAATTTTATATGGTAGAATTCTTTTATTGTTTTCTCATTCTTATGACTACTTTCTGACTTCAGACTTGATGTTAGGGGTGACTTTGTGCATTTCTGGTAGGAAGGTCTGGGCTGGTCCTGATGCTGCTTTCTTGGGGTTTGAGCATTGTGTTATTCCAGGATCTCAGGGACAGTTTAGGCTATTGAGAGTGACAGAAGACTCCCTCTTGGTCTAGAATTTTGGGTCTTTTGGTTTAGAATTCCTAGCCTGGTTATTCCTCTATAGGCTTCAGACAAGGCTAGAAGCTGGAAGGAAGGAAGGAAGGAAGGAAGGAAGGAAGGAAGGAAGGAAGGAAGGAAGGAAGGAAGGAGGAAAGGAAGGAAGGAAGGAAGGAAGGAAGGAAAGAAGGAAGGAAGGAGGATGATTTTTTCCAGAGAAACTTGCTATAAATATTTCCCCAGTTAATTACTTCTCTTCTCATTTTAATTGCATTGATTTTTTTAAGTAAAACTTTTAAAATTTCATATAATCAAAATTGTACATTTTACCTTCTGTGATCCTCTGTATCCTTTGTTTAGTTGTGAATTCTTCCTCATCCATAGATATGAAAGGCAATTTCTTCCTTGGTCCTCCAGTTCACTTGGTGTCATCCTCAATGTCTAAATGATGTAACCACTTGCACTTTATCTTTGTATATTAATTAAACATGTTGATCTATAACTATTTTCTTTCCGACTACTTTCTGGTCTTACCATCAATTTCTGTCAGATGGTGAGTTCTTATGCCAATTTCTGGGATCTTTGGATTAATCAAACACTAGGACACTGTTCTCATTTACTTTTTTCATCCCTTTTTTATGATAATGTCCTAAGCTTTCAAGGACCTCTCATTTACGTATATATGTGTATTAATGTAGATGTTGTCTCCCCCAAAGAACAAAAATTTCTTCAGGGCAGGAAGTTTCATTTTGGTTTTTATATCACCATCACCTACCTTGCACAGTGCCTAGTTACATAATAGCTATTTAATAAAAGCTTGTTGAATGATTTTTAATGGATTTAAATAGCAATGGGTAAGATGGATGGGAGAGTTGGGATCCTACAGGTGATACAATCAGTTAGGAAGCTAATGAAGTAGCACTCATACTCAGGTAGAAATCTGAACCAGAAAAGTCTTTTAAAAAAATTGTTAATGAAGAAAAGGTAAACTGATATGTGTAGATTCAGAGAACAGATTTACTGTAATTATTCTTCAAAAAAAAAGTTAATGTAAAACTTGTTACTAAAATGAATCTAGGAAAGGAAGTAGCCAAGCCATTAGATGCATGTGACATTGTGGATGTTAATTTCCATGGATACTTTAGACCTTTAGTTGAAACTTAATATGGTTCCATGTCCCAGATATACTATAGAGCAATTTTTTGTTAATGAGCTATGTGATGACATTAGTGTTTACTTATCTTTGGGGAATTTTTCATGGCTTTCGATGACCTTTAGTTTCATTTTTAAATGAGAGGTTTGATTTAAATGGTTTCAAAGGTGCTTTCTAACTCTAAGTCTAAGACACATGGTTGAGGCTATGTGGAACTGAGAAATGTCTTTGTCCCCAGGTGACCATTAATTTGCCTTGTGACAAGGCTCCTTGTGAATGGCTTTGTTACTATATAGGCTTTCCCCTATCATGAGATCTCATCTTAGTGCTCTCTCTTACGGACCATGCTCAGCTCTCTGGATCAATCTGGCAAGGTTACCACTGTTAGTTTGTGGGAGGTGGCTTTGACCCCCAACAGCTGGAATCAACCAATTCATCCCCAGTCTAATCACTCATCCTCAGGGAAATAAGAATGAGCTGACAAATACCTAGAAAAGGGAATGAGGAGATGTCCAATTGGCATGTCCGCATCTTTCTTAGGGAGATACAGTCAGCATTCCAAACAAAGGTTCACCTCCTAGTACAGGAATACCTCAGGGTTTTTTGCACTTTGCTTTAATGCACTTCAAAGATATTAGGTTTTTTTTGGTTTGTTTGTTTTTTACAAATTAAAGGTTTGTAGCAACCCTATATCGAGCAAGTGTATTGGAGCAATTTTTCCAACAGCATGTGCTCACATCATGTCTCTGTGTCACATTTTGGTAATTCTTGCAATATTTCAAACTTCATTATTATTATATCTGTTATGGTGGTCAGTGATCTTTGATGTTACTATTGTAGTTGTTTTGGGGCATCATGAACTGCACCCATATAAGACAATATATAAGAACTTAATCGATAAACGTTGTGTGTGTTCTGACTGCTCCACCATCTAGACAGCTACCTGTCTCTCTCCCTCTAACTTGGACCTCCCTATTCCCTGAGAGACAAACCCTACAATGGCATCTAAATGTTCAAGTGAATCAGCAACCACCACCCTGATCTGTCAGCAGCCATGAACATCAAGGCAAGACCCTCCACCTGCAAAACGATTATGATTCACTGAAGGCTCAGATGATGGGTAGCATTTTTTTTTTTTAGCAACAAAGCATTTTTAATTAAGGTATGTACGTACATAAGGCATGTAAGCTAGTGCTGCCATATTCTTGACCAGAGTACAGATATAAAAGAAAAACCTAGTACAGGTTGGCAGAACATGAGAAAGACTAGACAGCCATGCCTTGAGCATTCCTATAGGATAAAATCTTAAATTTCTCAATTTCATATTGTGAGGGAATCCTGCCAACTAATCCAATTATAAGGTCTGGAATTTCCCTGACTGGGGAACCTTGTACTTCCCCCATAACCATGGAGTGTTTTGATACCACAGAAAGAGGCCAAGGAGCTCCCGATAGATTATAGAAGTTTAATCAATCATTATAATTATTCATAAACAGAGGCTATCTAGAGCGGCTGTCAGGCAGTTCGGTGGATCCCCACTAAAGACTCCAAGAAAGGCCACTGGTAATCACAGAAATCAGATAAAGGAAGGAGGAGTTATGGGGTGTTTCACTGCTGATTGGTGGATATTTTGAGTTTTCCTGCTTTGTTAATGTTTTGGTTAATATTTTAGTTTATATTTAGAATTGAACCTGATTCCCAGACATCCAGGTGATTACCCAATGTTGTTGGGTAAATTCCCAAACACAGGGTTGTGTACTGGTCAAAATGGTCACAAACAGGTAATTGTATTCTTGCTACGGCTTTTACTGGCTTTTACTCATTATCTGAGTTATGACTCGGTGTCTAAATTATGATTCATTATCTAAGTTATGATTTTTAATAGGTCACTATGTCTGGGCTTCTACCTTTCACAGAGTTTAAGTTAATGGCTTTTCACTTTTTACTATATATTATAGCTTTTCCCCAATCTGGATCCTACGATATCTTTCCCGGAACACAGCAGGCAAAGAATTTAAATGAAAAGTCCAGATTGGTGGATTTGTACCACACAATACAAGATTGATTTCAATAGACATAGGAAAAAATAAAACTAAATAAATTGGTGTGAGATGGTGTAAATTCATCCTACCTTTTCATTCTTCTACAAATTTCTTGGAGGCAGGAGCTATCTGGTTTTGTATTTGAATCTGTGATTCCAAAGACAATGGCACATAGTAGGTACTTTAATTAAAGTTTGCTCTACTTGCAAAAGTATTACCTAATTAGAGGTTCTGAACACATGGGCAAAAGAAAAATGAGGATGAAGACTGATGCTCTCCCAGCTCCAATTGTGGGAAGGCTCCTTAAATCAGACAGCTATTGGAAAAATTATTTTATCCAACAGAAGAGGCACAGAGAATGAAAGGATGGGCACTCTGCTAAAGGAGACTTTAAGGGGAAAGGGTCTCCTATAGATGGAAAACTGGAAAACACAGACATAATAATCTCTCTGTCTCAGTTTCTCAGTCTCTCTTTGTGTCTCTGTCTCTGTCTCTGTTTCTCCCTACATTTGTATGTAGACACACTTATGTGCATATAGATGAATAGACACATATATGTATATATAAAAAGAGCACTGGATTTGGAGGCAAAGGACGTGCATTTGAAATATGGCTTCACCCCTCATTACATGTGTGAGCGTGGGCAAGTTAATTAACTTTTCTGGACCTCAGTTTCCCCAGCTGTAAAATGGGGAAATTATACTAGATGATGTCAAATGTTATTTCCAGCTCTAAATTCATGATCTCTAGCTCTTAAGTCATATCACATCAGTTAAGCATTGGAAGTGGTTCACCTCCCACCTATTGGCAAAAACCACTGCCTATTTCACTGGTCAAGTTCCAGTCACCAATTTGATGTGTGACCTTGGGCAAGTTTCTTAATTTCTCTGAAGCTCAGATTCTGTGGAGTGCTGGTTGAGAAGAGCTCTGAGTTCCTTCCCAAGGTCTGCCTTGTCATTGCCTGCCCTTCTTCTGTGACTATGTGTTCAGAAAAGTGAGTGGAGGTGTGTCCACTCTGGCCTCACCCTGAACTGGAACAAAATAGACCTTTACATGGTGACTCTGCTTTGGGGAATCTGGGAAGGTGAGTGATAGGTGTAGGGAAGGAGGAAGGGTGTTAAGAGTAAAGGGCAAGAGGGTAAGATAGGGATTATGATAGACAAAAGGTGGGTGGGACAGATTCCTTATATAGTCTCCTCTCATCACTCATTCACTGCCTTGCCTTGCCTGGATTCTATTCTTTCCTTCCCAAAACATTTGCTCCACCTGAAGCAACAGTTTCTCCACTTCCTAGTCCACAGGGATCAGTGCTGCCACAGAGGAATGTTGGCCCAAAGGTGAGGGTCGCATTGGATAACAATGCTTGTATGGGTATGGGGCAACCTCGTAACTCCCAGAGGTTGATAGGGTAACCCTAGTGCTCTTAGAAGATGAAGACATAAGGGTTCTCAAGGTCTAATGGCAGAGAATTCAAAGTCCTTGGGCTGGAGGAGAGTATACTAAAATCCCTAGGGGCTGAGGGATAGTGTTGCCTCAGGCTGAAAGGGATCCCCAGGCTCTCCAGGATTGAAGGGAGCCTTTTGATCCCCAGGGCCAAAGGGAAACATCAGGTGACTGAGAAGCTGGGATCATGGGACCTTTCTATTTTACTTTCATGTATGTGAAATGTCTTTTGAATGTAAAAGGGCTACCCCATTGTCAGGGATAGCTCCACAGGGCAAAGCTAAGAAAGAGCCCAAATCTTCAGCTCTCTGTGTCTTGGTTCCTCATTGGCAAAATGAGAAGTCAGATTAGATCATCTCTGAAGTTTTTCTCATCTCCAAATTTTGTAATCCATTGGAGAATGTGATTTCCAGAGAGGGAGGGAGGTGAAGTTGAGTGCCAGATTATGGGGGAAGGGATTGGAATGGGGTGTTAGGTTGAGCCAGACCATTTTATGGTCATAAAATGTCCATCTCTTTCCAGAACCTCTGTTCAAATCCTCTCTGAGGAACCAGAAGCCTGCATTCAGACTCCTACGGAGGTTGGAAGCCCTGGAGAACTAGAAGAGCAGGTGATCCGCCTAGAACCAGGAGCCTCTGCTTGGAAGTTTGTCCAGGAAAAAATCCAGAGACTATCAGACTCGGTAAGAGAAGCTGATGCATTGGTTCGGAGGTTGTTGGGAAGTCAGGGAAGGAGGGATTCGGTTTTGGAAGGATTGAACCTGTTTGTCATTTGACAACAGAGAATCAAGATGAGAGCCAGAGCACCTGGGCTCATCCCAACTCTCCCAATAACTCGCTATGTAACCTTGTATGAATGACTTCTCCACTGTGAGGCTTAGTTTCCAAAGTGAGGAAGTGAAGAGGTTGATGAAATTCTGTGGATCCCTTCCTGCTGACATTCTGCGCCCCAAGATCCTTCTTAGTCCTAATTGTCTTAAGTTTTAACATCTCTCTCATCTCTAGTGTTCTATGTTGTAAGGTGCCTTCCAATTTTGACAATCTATGTCCCATGGGCTTTTTTTTTTTATTAAGACCCTTTATATTCTACTTTCTAGTACCTCTCCAAGATGACATTCTATGTTTTCTGTTCCAAAATTCCTTGGGTTCTCAAATCTTTTTTTTTTGCATGTTAGAGATACAGTTTTATTTGTGAATGAACAAAATTGAGGTTTTGAGATGTCAAATGACTTGTCTAGAGGCACACAATGTGCTGATGCCTGGATTGGGACTTGAATCAAATTTCATCTTCTAAGGGCCCTTTCTGCTTTAACATTGTCTTTCCCAACTCCAACATTCTTTTTTAAGATCCCTTCCAGCTAAGAAATTCTATTTTCTTTTTTTAGTTCTACTTTATTTTATTTTCAAACAAAAATCTAGCTTCTGTCCCTACCATGTGCCCTATCCCCCATATTGAGAAAGCAAGAAAAACAAAACTCCCATCACAAACATATGTAGTCAAGAAAAACAAATCCCCACATTTGACCATGTCCCTCTTTCCCCAGCAGTTTCCCTATTTCTTAGTCCAAAAGGATCAATGCTGCCACAGAGGAATATTGGCCAAGAGGTGAGGGCAGCATTGGATAATGATGCTTGTGTGGGTATTGGTAGACCTGAGTTCCCAGAGTTTGGTGGGGCAACCCTAGTCTTCTTAGAAGATGAAGTCACAAGGGCTCTCAAGAGTGATTAGAGAATTTAAAGGCCTCAGTGGCTGAGGAGAGCACACTAAAATTCCCAGGGGCTGATGGATAAAGATCCCTGAACTCCCAGGGCTAAAGGAGGTCCCCAAGCTCCCCAGGATTGAAGAGAGCCTTTTGACCTCCTAGGGCCAAGGGACATATGTGGGGAGAACAATGTAGATTCTCAGGGAACTCACCACCTAAAACAAACTTTTGAAATATAAACCCAAGATAACAATAATAATAACAGCAATATAACACTTTAATATTTGCAAAGAAATTTATAAATATTATCTCATTTGATCTTCACAACAACCCTATTAGACGGTTGCTATCATTAACTCTCTTTTACAACATGAGGAAATTGAGGCAGACAGAGACTAAAGTAACTCACCCACAGTTACACAGCTAGCAAGTGTCTGAAACTGGATTTGAACTTGAGTCATCCTGATCTGGGTCCAGAGCTCTATTCTCTGCACCAACTAACTGGAAGAAAGGGCAAGTAATAGCAGATGAATACAAAGGTATGACTTGGTCCTGTAAGAATGTATCTGGAATTCTGATAAAACTCAGAATGAACTGAGACTGGTGAGGAAAGAATGAACAAATTATTTTGGGATGTTTCCAAAGTTGTATTGGAGAAAAAAGAGGGCTTGAAGGATTGAGGGATTGATAGGATGACTGCTCCAGGTGGATGGAATGATGATAATGTATAAAAGTTTGAACTCACAGATAATACATTCATTGCACTTCTCTATTCTCTGTGGAAGAGAATGATCTTGGGCTTGGCATACTAACTTCATTTCCTTTTGGCATAGGTAGAAGTCAGGGAAATAATGAAGATATAGCTTACCTAGATTTTGGTGAAGCTTTTGATAAAAATTTCATACTATTTTTTGTGTAAAAAAATTGGGAGATGCAGCATAGGTAATAGTGCAATTAGATGGATTGAAAAATGGTTGAATGGCTAGACCCAAAGAATAGTCACTAACAGGGTCAAAGAGGTATTTGCTTGGCAGGTCTTTAGCTCAGTGCTCTAGAGATATGGACTTGGCCCTGTGCTGTTTAACATTTTTTATCAATGATTGGCTAAAGGCTTTGATGGCGGGCATAACAAATTTGCAGGTGGCAGAAAGCAAAAACTACTGGAAGACAAATTCAGGATTCAAAAAGATATTTATAGATTCAACTGTTGGGATGAATCAAATAGGATTAAATTTAATGGGCATAAGTCTAAAGTCTTCCACTTTGGTAGTATAAGTGGTGCTCTATTCAATTTACAAAATGAGAAAATTGAGGCTCTGAGAAATTAAGTGACTTAATGAAGGTCATGTAGTTAGAAAGTGTCAGAACCTCAATTTGAACAGAGACCTTCTGATTCTCAAGCCAGGTCTCTGTCAACCACACAATGTTTGATTGCCAATGGCTCCTTCTTCACAACTCCAAGGGACAGCTTGAATTAATTGAGATTTGGAGTAAGCAGAACACAGAAGATTTCCAGGTCAGGAAAGTTCTTCCTTCGCCCATCAAAGATGACTCTCCCCTGCCCTTTCTCCCACAGGATGAGAGAGATGCCTTCATGGTGGCTGACCTGGGGGTTCTGGCTGAGCAGCACCAGATATTCCAGCAGGCCATGCCCCATGTGGCTCCCTTCTTTGCTGTGAAGTGCAACAATAGCCCCAGTGTGTTGCAGGTGCTGGCCAACCTGGGCACTGGCTTTGACTGTGCAAGTCGGGTGAGCTCCAAGGAGGCCCCATATCCACATAGGCCTGGGGGTGGGTACACATGATGGGAAGGCAGGAGATTCATGAGGGCCAGAAGGAAAAGGTTCTTTGAAAGACTGAGCAGCTCTGGATTGAACAGAGAGGGTGGGGGCAAAGGAGAACTATAAAAGAAGTCAGGCTGTGGGTCCAGGGGGTTGGAAGGAAATCATAACATGGGCAATATGCTTACAGAAAAAGGAGGGCCACATCTTTCCTTCCCTTTTCCCATTGGTAACATCTCCAGTAGAGTCTGTCTAGGGCAACAGGAGAGATTAAGATCATGAAGGAGAGGCTCCCATTGGAAGGAGCATATATTTGTACGTGTGTTTGGACAAGGAGATACTGAGAACATTTTGGACACTTCTCCTTTCTTCCTCTTCCCCACTCCCCACTCTTAAGAACTCCTTGCGAGCCCACATCCAGGGAGTATTAAATCCATCTATCTCCCTCCAGTAAGATTTCAACATTTCTTTTAAGGGGCTAGTGTTTTCTAAATGGAGTGGGAAGGAATGGGAGATGGAGTAGAATCTGAATGTCCAGAAGCTCATGGCTGTCCTCAATTCTTTTCCCCTGGGTTTTCCCCTGGGAGCTTGGGCTATGGATGGGAATGCTCCATTGAGTTATAATGAGCTCCCAGATTGAGGATGTGAGAAGGGCGTAACCCCTAGAGGGGTAATTTCTGCTGTTCTGCCATTAGGGGGAGTTGGAGCAGATTCTGAGCATGGGAGTTGCCCCGACCCGCATCATCTATGCCAATACTTGCAAGCAGATCTCTCACATACAATATGCTGCCAGCCATGGGGTGCAGCTGATGACTTTTGACAGTGAGGAGGAGCTTGCCAAGGTCGCCAAGTTTCACCCCACTGCCAGGTAAGGGTGGCAGAAGAAACCTGGACACCACTGTTAGCACCATTCTTGGGCAATACTGTCATGGGATTGGCAGAGATGGTCTGAACCCAGAGTCCAGATAGACCTGAAAAGCAGGAGACATAACAAAGGGAGAAAGTTTCCTCATCACTTTCAGCTCCCTCATTTCTAACATGGGGATAATAATAGCATTTACCTGATGAGGGTTGTTGTGAGGATCAAATTATATAACGTATGGAAAATGCTTTGCAATCCTTTCAGCTTTATGTATAAATAATAGCTATTATTATTGTTGTTGTTAGTAATAATAAAGGAGCAGATGAATGAATAAGATTGATAGATGGTAGATAGATATGTAAAAAGTATATGTGCCTAATCACTGGACATCAAGGAGATCCAGGGGCAGGTGGCAAATGGAGCTCCCAGGACATTCATAAAGCCATAGCATCAGGGAGGACTAGACATAGGTAACAGGCAGAAGTCTGCTATGGGTGACATGGCCCGACCATGGAGTCCCAATCAATAACAGGTGATACAAAAGAGGTATCTCTTCCTGCCCACACACAGTGAGGTATAGTGGAAAGTGACCGGCAAAGGTCTTAGAGCAATGAGGCAGAGGATCCAGGAAGGATGTAGATGAGGAAGATAAAACAATGACCTAGACACTGGGGTATGAGGTGGGGGCTCAGTACTAGTGAAGTTGCCAGTAGTTCCTAGAAGGTGGGCATAAGGTCTAAGCAGAATCAGCAGCTAGGCTGACTCATGGGTGTTTGGGAAATAAGGAGAAGTGGAGATGGAATTGGGGTGGGGTGAGGAATGGAGGTGTCTAGGAGAGACTCCAGGAGTCACAGGCCTCCCTCAGTCAATGTGTAGAAGTAGTGTGAGGCATTAGAAAGAGCACTAACCCTGGACTCAGACCTGAGTTCAAATTCTGTCTCTAACATTAGTTATATGGCTTTGGGTAAGTTGCCTCACTCCTAAGGGCTACTGGGAAGAAGGGATGATGATATTTGCACTACTGACCTTAGTAAACCTTATTAAGGCATGAGAGAAATGTGTGCTGTTATTCCTTGGCAGGTTGGTCCTCAGACTTTGGACCCAGGATAGCGAGAGCCTGTTTCCCTTGAGTGCCAAGTTTGGGGCTCCCCTGGACCACTGTGGCCATCTGCTGAGCATTGCCAAGGATTTGGGAGTGACTGTAGTTGGAATCTGGTAAGTCTACCTTGAAGGACTCCTGCTTCTCCCGGGGTACTGAAAAGGGAAGAGGCCTAGACTAGGAGCCAGAAGGCCTGGGTTCAAGCTGGGCTCTACTATTGACTTACTGGGTCAATGACCTCAGCCTTTAACCTTGGGCAAATCTCTGCCTTTCTCTGGGCCTCAGTTTCTCCTCTGTCAACTAAACACAATGATCTACCTTCTCCTCCCCACAGAGGTTTTGTGAGAATTTATGAACTATAACAGGTTTTGCAAACAGAAAAGCATTTCTAAAGCATCAGTTTATGTCTCTGTGTATGTCTGCATATGCATTTATTTGTGTCTGTGTGGGAACCTTTCTATGCTTATGAGTGAATAAGCACACATGCACCCATGTGTCTTCACATGTGCACCTGTGCATTTCCTCCATGCTAACAGTATGCTTGGCTCCACTCAGTTTCCACGTGGGTTCTGGCTGCCAGACACCACAGAGCTTCAGCCAGGCCATTGCAGATGCCCGACATGTGTTTGACCTGGGCCTCCAGATTGGGCACCCAATGAGCCTCCTAGATATTGGAGGGGGCTTCCCAGGCAAGAAGAACTTTGTGCCTACATTTGAAGAGGTGAGTAGCCAAGATCCAAGGCTGGAGGGAGAAGACAGGAAAAGACGGCTTAGGGCAGGAGAGTGGGCTCAACTGATGGGAGTGGGAGAGGCACATTCCCAGGTCCAATCTTAGCACTTTGTTTTTAAAAAAAAGCTTTATTGATGATCTTTCAAAAAATCTCTATCTTTTAAAAAATATATCTCTATTTTTTCAATGATATATGCCCTACCTCGAGGCCTCACTTAAAATATTGGTCATTGTTTAAGAACATATGCTTCATTCCGCACCTGTAGTTCTCCCTCTCCCCTGCTTTCTTCCAAGAGGCAGGAGTATTTTTTGCCAGTCCTCTGAAATCCCTTGTGATCACTGCATCTGAGGGAGTTTTGAGGGCTGTTTGCCTTTACCTTGTAGTCTTCACTTTCTGCCCCTTTCAACAATCAAAACTCTTGAATACCAAAGGTACTGATAATGGGCTTCTCTGAGTATAGCCAGGCTGGTCCTTGGGCCACAAATGTATAGTTCACCCTTGGTTCCATACTTGAAAACCTCCCAGTCAGCTAGGACCTGACAGCAGTTGGCTCTACTCTCAGGGCCTTTCAGAACTCTGTAGCAATATCTCCCAAATGGCATAGCTCTGAAGAGTTGCTCACAAAAGTGTCAACTCATTAAACACTCTCTCTACCACCTGCACAATGACCCCAGGTACTATGTGCTCAGTCTTGAGCTTAGCTGGTGCTTAAGATGGGAGTGAGAAAAAAAATTAAGAGACCTTGCCCCTGACCTCAGGGAGTTCAGAGTCTGGAGCAGGAAGAAGAAGAACAGACCCAGCCCTTCACCTGGGGAGATATCTGAGATGAAGATCCTATCTCTGCTATTCAGAAACTTACCCTGTGCTAGAGAAACAGAGAAAGAAAGAATAGACCCAATCCCTGACCTCAGAGAAGTAGCAGTCCCAGGCCCTGCCCTTGAGAAGTTCATATGCTTAGTAGGGTAACCAGCCTCCCAAACACAGAGAAGATCCAAAGGTTGGACTGTGTTGCTCTGACCTCAGGAAAGTTGCCTGGAAGAGGTTCCATGGAAGCTGGGCCTTGAAGACAGAGAGGATGAGGAAAAACCTTCCCTGTATGTAGGGAAGAAAGACAGGGGAAAGACACAGCATAAGCAAAGTCTTGGAGGCAGGTAAAAGCTTGGCATGTGCTCACATGTTGGTGGGGTGCCTGATGGTAAACTGAAGAATGCTGGGCCCTAGGGCTGATCTACATGGAACAGTTCCAATATCTAAGGAGAAAGATGACAAATACCGAGAGATGTGAGATATCTGAGTGGCATATCACAGTGCAGAGCCCCCAGTAACATCCCTGTGGGACAAGGGAACACTAGGCATGAGACATAAACAGGCATATGCTAGGGCCATGATCATTGGCTTGACTGGAAGGGAGTGTAGACCACCCTGGTAGGGTGGTCTGTGCTGATGAAGACCATTCTCTTTCCTGCAGATGGCAGCTGTGATCAACAGAGCCTTGGACCAGTATTTCCCAGAAGGCAGCAGAGTGGAGATCATAGCTGAACCTGGCCGCTTCTATGTCACTAAAGTGTGTACTGCTGCCCTCAACATCATTGGCAAGAAGAAAGTGGTGGAACAAGGTGTGCCAGGCTATTGTGCAGGTCATGTTGCACTGGGATAACTTCCTCAACCAGCTTGTGGTCTTTGGACTTGGTCCATAGTGTGGCCAAGAGACAAACTGACCCCATAGTCATAGCACCATACAATTAATCTCAGAGGTATCTAGTCCAACCCCTCTCTGATACAACACCTCCTTTTCCTTCTCACATTCCTATTTCTGTCTAGTACCACCATTCACATCACTCACTCAGAATCACTGCCTTAGGGTTATGCTTGACTTTTCCCTCCTCCTCTTCCTCTCTCATATCCAGTTAGTTATTAAATCCTGCCAAATCCACCTCCGAATATTCCTTTTATTTCCTGTAACTGCCATGTTGACATAGGCTTTTGCTATCATTGGCCCAACTACTTCAGTAGCCATCTAAAAATTCTGCCCACCTTCACTCTTTTCTAGTTGGGCACATTAGCTCACAGATAGAGCTGGAATGGATCTCAGAGGTCATCTAGCTCAACCCCTTCATTTTACAGATGTGGAAAGTGAAGCCCAGGGAGGCTTTGTCCAAGGTTACAAGCTAGTGGGATGCTTGGAGCCTAGTTCTTCTGACTCTAGAACCAATGCTCCTCCCACTCTACTATACTGCTGTCCCCTCTGATTGGTCCTTTTCAGGCTGCCAGAATCAGCTTTATTAAGCACAGATCTTACCATGCCACTACTCTGCTCAAGAATTTTCAGCGGTTCCCTCCTGCCCTCCACATAAAGTTCACAGTCCTCTGCTTAGTATTCAAGGCTCTCCCAAGCAGCTGCTACCTTACCTTTCCAGCTCTTACGTCATATTACTCCCTTCCAAGTAATCTATTCTATTGCCCAGACAAATTGTGCCTAATATGCTACAAAGACAAAAACAAAACAATCCTTGTCCTCAAGGAGCTGATATTCTACTAGGGTTGGGGGTGGGGTGGGGAAGGGACCTGGTAAATACAAGCTAACAAGTTAATACAAAATATTGAAAAAGTTACATTAAGTAATTGCAAGAGGGAGAGAATGCTAACAACTTCACGGATCATGGAAGAGCTCGTGTAGTAGGTGGTATCTGAGTTGTGCTTTGAAGGAAGCTAGGGATTCTGAGAGGGAGAAGTCATGAGAATAAGTGATTGCATTGTAGACATGGGAGACTATTCATGCAAAGCCATGGAGGAAGGATTGAAACATCATCTATGAGATGAATATCCTTTGCTCAAGAACCTTCAGTGGCTCCCCATTGTCTTTAGGATAAAATACAAACTCTTCTCTGTAGGATTTAACGCCCTTTATGATCTTGATCCAACCATATCTCCAGGCTGATTACATAGCATAGAAAGGATTGTCTTAAGCAAATTTTGTATTTCCCCTATGCCTAGCACCAAACTCTGTACCAGGAAGGCTCTCAGTAAGTATTTGTTTTATAAACAATTCTCCAGCCTCCGCTTGTAGAACTCCAGTGTTAGAGAACTCACAGCCTACCTGGAGAATGGAAAAGCCTAAAAGGGAAGAGAGCCTTGGGGCAATCATGATAAGCTTCACTGATGAGGTCAGGTTGTGATGCATTGGGATGTCTCCAAGAATTTCAAGACTCCAAGTCAGTTAGAGAGATTTATTGTGGTTTTAAGGTTTCACCCTCTGGTGAAGGGCTAAGTTCCTTAGAGGAACTAGAAATTTCAGTGAGGCAAGACAGACAATTTTATAGAGTACATGATGCTGATTACATAATCAAAATTTACATAGACTATGGGAATATGATTAATATTAAAAAAGCAGGAGAGGTTTGTTAAGAGATTAGGTAATAGGCTTAGGGATCCCTTTAATGGTTCCGTGGTCAAACGTCCTGGTTGTGCTGCTTTCTGATTGGCTAGCTATTGTGATCCTCTCTGGTCAAGATGGTCAAGTTCGGTGTTTTATTTAACCTGTCTTGGGTTAAATGGATTATGTCATTGTCGTTGAGGAGAAGAACACGCCTGTTCAAATATGTGAATTGGATCTGGGGGCAGTGGCCAGCTAGGGGCAGTGGCTATATTGAGTCTAATGGCAGCTTTATTAGGATTCCATCATCACTAGTCCCAAATACCCTTCTGACTAAGCTGTTTTCTTTCTCCTGAAGGTGGCCAAAGACTGATGTACTATGTCAATGATGGTTTTTACACCTCTTTTGGAATTATGCGGAGAGAGAAAGAAACAAGGATACCTCACGTGGTGAAGGCAAGAGGGGGAAGGGGGCAAGAACTGATTTTGACAGCTCTGGAGGTAGGGCAGGAGAAAGCTATATGGAACTTCCTGGAATAGAACAAGTCAGCTGGACAGGGCTACATTTCCTAAGGAATTCAGTCATTAAAGAGCAAGTTCTCTAAGATTTCCAGGTCAGTGTGGGCCCTCAGATATAATCTTGATTATCCTCCCCCAGTCTCTATTCAAAACTCACCGCTGAATTTCTCTACTCTGAGCTTGGGGATGGGGAATAGTGTAGTAACTGTCTAATGGCTTCCAAGGTGATCAGAATATAGCTGGTACCTCTACATTCTAGCTCAGACACAGCAAACTAGGGTTGTTTAGGAGACACCATAGAAATGTTTGAAAAAAGGGAATTGATCAAATTCAACTGCCTATATTTTCCCCATATTTAGCAGCAATTGCCCTCTAAACGAATGATTTTCTAGTAAGTTAGCTGAGACACCAGAAGAAAAAGAAACCTCTACACAGAACTGACATATACGTAGTGAGATGTAGTGAAGGACATGCTTTACAAACTGAGGCTGACAGAACTTAAGTGGCTTGTCCATAACTCTGAACATATATCAAATCAAGTGATATAACCATAAGTGTAGGATAATCTTTGAAAGTGTATCTTTTGGAAAGAGAGTTCTTAACAGTTTAGGAACATAGAGCAAAATATTTATAAATTTTACAGTTATAAAAATCTTAAATAGTGAGCATATACTTAATATAAATTATGAAAAGGAGTATAAATATAAAGCAAATATAAAGCATATATTTTGGAATGCATTGTAGCATTCACAATGAACCTGGCTCTAGTACACCCAACTATGGTCCCTTTGAACTTGCATCCTCCCACACTTGATTTGTTCATTCGTTCATTCATTCAACAAACATTAAGTAAGCATGCACTGTTATGGATCCTATGCTCAGTATATTGAGGAAGACGTAAAATTTCAGTAAGACAAAGACCCTGCCCTCATGAAGTTCAAAATCTGGTAGGGAGATAAGCTTTTAAAAAAATAACTGTACTATGGAATATTACCTAATAAATTCATGAGGGGATGATGGTTGGGGTTGGGTGGAAATTAAAGGAGAAAACCTGGTGGGGATGGTCTTTGAGTTGACTTTTAAAGTGAGAATCCAACAGCAAAAGTGAATAGGAACTCAGCAGGGAAAAAAGGAGAGGGAAGGCATTTTAGAAATAGAGATCAGCATGATCGAAGACAGAAAGAATGGTAAGGAACAGGAGACAGAGGTGGTTTGAGCCAAGAGTCACTTTATTTAGCTGAATCCTCCTCCTTTACTTCTCATCTGGTATAGAGCTTCACTTGCAAGCCACTTCTTTACCCCTCCACATTGTGGGGTCCCACATGTGATGCCTTTGACCGTCTGGGTCCAACAGACATCTTGCTGCCTGAGCTTCATGTGGGTGACTGGCTGATCTTTGAAGACATGGGGGCCTACACTCACACCTTAAGTTCCAATTTCAATGGTTTTACACGGCCTGAGATGACCTTCACCATTCCTTCTGAGCTACAGTGAGTAGGAGTACAGGACTGAGAATGGGAATCTGAACAGATGGTCCTCCAGCTACCCTTTCCCTGGGCCCTGAGCCCTTTCAAGAGGCAAAGTTGGGCCTGGCCAGACTCCCTCATGCCACTGAATTGTGCTGAAGATGGGAAGAGGCTGTCCCTGGAGCTCTGACAAGAAGATATCCCCTCCCCCTTGGTCATTAGGCAGAGTATTTCACCCAGTAATCTGCCTTCTCCCACATATATACACATTGTTAGGGGGTGGGGGTCAGAAGGAATTCCTGTAGAGCTAGAGTGAGAAACTACTCTGGTTTGACCACCAGAGCTTTCATGAGACCTTTCCCTCACTTGCCCTCCAATTACTCCTTATGCTTTCCCCATGGACTTTTCCTACCCCATTTCCCTGCCCCTTAGAGCCTCATGCCTTACTGGGTAACAGCTAATTAATTTAAAATTCAAATCTTGTGCAAATATCTTGAGGGTGGCTAGGTGTATGTCTCTCCACTCCCATGTAACACAGATTTATTTTCACAGAGACCTTCTGAAACCATTGCCTTAAACTCCAGGAAGAGATGTTCACCATGGAGGTTTCAGTGTGACAAGCCCATGAAAGAAAGAGGAATGGGAAATGCTGAGAACTTTTGCTGCTTCCTAAGTCACACTAAGAGGCCTGTTTGATCATGTATCATGACATAAAAAGTGATCTCTGAGAGTTAAAAAAAAAAAGTATTGGCTGAAATTGGGGTTGAGATAGAGTAGAGAAGGAGGAGAGGTCAGGCTGAAGTAAATGCAATCTATTTGCAGTCTCTGCACAGAGCACTGAATTTGGAATCAGAAAATTGTATTTCATTCCAGCACCATGACTTATTAGCTGTGTAACTCTGGACAAGTCATTTGCCCTCTCTGGGCTTCAGAGTCTCAACTGTAAAATCAAGATGAGATGATCTCAAAGGTAGCTTTCAGGTCTCATTTTCTAAGATGTGTTCAGGCCACTAAGAAAAGTAAATATTACATATATTCATCTCCCCAAATTCCTGCTCTCCTCCCTCCAGAAAGATGCCCCAAACCCTAGTGTTTCTTTTCTCCTATGATGACAGTGCCTCACCTAGTGCCTTCTATATTATATATTTATTGTATATATATATATATATTATATAGATTGTCCACAAAAGTGGACAATCTAATATATATTTATTATATTAGATTGTCTACTTTTGTTTGTTGGCTCAATTCATACTGCCTCCTTTATACACACAAGGTGACAGCTGTCACATAGGTTAAAATCCAATGAGGGGATTTCGAGGAACTCATAGTGCGGTTGTTGTTGTTTAGTCATTTTTCCAGTCATGTCCAACTCTTTGTGATCCAATTTGGAGTTATCTTTGCAAAGTTACTGGAGTGGTTTGTCATTTCCTTCTGCAGCTTATTTTACAGATGAGGAAACTGAGGCAAAGAGGGTTAGGTGACTTGCCCAGGGTCACAGGGACAGTGAATGTCTGAGGTCAAATTTAACTCAGGTCTTCCTGACTCCAGGCTCAGCACACTATTCACTGCCCTCCCAACGGCCTTCAGAGTGTAGTACCTGTAAATATATTCAAACTGTTCCCTCTGTGTAGGGATTGAGCAGCACTGTGGACCTTTCAGCAGCCCACAATCTCCCACTCTGGCCAGTAGGTGGCATTCAGAAAGCTAGCTGTTCAACATTGCCCCCCGCCACCCCCACCCCCTCCATCTCCCAGTCCCAGTTCCTTGCCCCCTAATTTCATTCCCCCACCACCTATGGTGACTAGCTACTTTTTAGCTTTTCACTTTTCTACAGGAAAGCAGATTTGCCTTTGTGAAGTGTGTGGTTTCCTGAGGTCAAGGTCTAAAAGATGAATAAATAATACTCATAACAGTGATTGTTACAACTACTCCCATCCCTCAGTTTAATTTGCTCTTTTAATTTCTCTCTTCCTGGACCCAATGATTGAGATAAGCAACATATAGGTTACTATGATGTTAATTAATATATGTGAGTTTTAAGTGAGAGTAATCAGACACACTCTTCTACATCCACATGGCTATTAGCCACTCAAGCTGAGAGAAATATTTTTCCTTCTTTCATTCCTTTCCTTCTATCTGTGTTATTATCCTTTCCAATTATCTGTGTCAGGAAACTCTTATCACCCTCACAGTTGATAGAGTATTGAGGAGAGGAGGGATTTTCAGAGAATTCCTCAGTGACAAAGAGTGGTAGAGATGCACACTTTTGCAAGGTCAGCCAGTCCAGTTTCTTAGCAGCTTGGAGTCCTCAGCAGATTCTGGGTAGTAGCTAACTTCAGTATCTTTTTCCTGTCCCATCTATTAAATCAGCCTCTTATTGTCAACAGTTTCTGCGACTTACAACTTTTCTGGGATATGTCTGTAAAATAGGGGAATGTAATTAGATTATATGTAAGGACCCTCCTAGCCCTAAATTCTGTGAGAAGTATTGAACTCATCCTGACATCTCATGAAACAGCCAGAGCTTTGAATCAAGGTAACACTAGAAGAGGGGCTGATCCTTATAGGGCTGCCATTCTGTGAACCTGGAAGTACAGGGGATCCTGTTTACAAAGATGAAGAGACATCCCCAGAAGTCAAGACACTTAACCTAAGCTTGTGCCATAGAGTGACAAGCAGCAAGAAGAGAAAGTGGGAACATTCATGTTCATCTCCTGGGATGAATCAGAAAGAATAAACAGGAGTAGAGGGAATAACTGAAATGACTATTAATACTAATGAATTTTTCAAGAGACAGAAAGAAAAGTTGTGGGAAATTAAGTGATGGGCTGTAATACAATGAACCATGTCATTTGGGTCCATAGTTGTGTAGAATAGCCAACAATAATGGAGAAGAATGACAAATAATCAGAGGCTATAAACATGCTGACAATGACATTACAATAATTATTTTTAATAGAAGAACATTCACACCCTTGCTGGAGCAAGTCAACTTTCCCAGGTTCATGTGAGGAGAAGAAGTGTGGCTAGCTTGCATAGTGGAATCCTATGCCATAGCATGGCCTAGAGGAATCTAAAACTGAAAATTGATTTTAATTCTATTTTTGAGGCTTAGTCAAGCTACATTTCATAGTTCCTTCCCTTCCCACCCAGATCCCAGAGAAACTTGCCTAAAGATCAAGCTTTTGTCATGTAATTACCTCTACTTTTGTAACTTCACCCATCACCAACTTTCCAGAGAAACTTGGTTAACTTAGAGGTCAAATCTCATCAATTTAAACTATTGTAGCAACTCCCCATCACCTGAAGACTATTTCCTTTGCTTGTGATTTGAATCATCTGTCTTGCTTAAGGGGGTTTCAGAAAGGGAGGCACAAATGATTTAATCTAAGTTCTGACTATGTCATTGATTGCCAGTCAGAAAAAGACACTTATGTTGATTGAGATTTTGTTCTGTCATCTTGCTAATTGTTCTAAAAGACCCCGTCAGTCTTCACTTAATGCCTCTGGCTTAGCTTAGGTTGTTGTTGATTGTCTCTATTAATAAATTCACACTTATTAATAAACTGATCATGTTCAGAACTTTGTGCCTCAGTTTACCTTAATTTCAATTGCAGCAGGAAGCAATGTGGCAGCTGGCAGTATAGTGGAAAAAATACTGGGCCTGGATTCAGGAAAACCTGAGTTCAAATCCTACCTCAGACACTAGCTATGTGACTCTAGGCAAGTCAGTTAACCACTCTTTGCCTCTGCTTCCGCAACTGTAAAGTGAGTATTATAAAAGCACTTACCTCCTAAGGTTGTTGTGAGGATCAAATGAGATAACATTTGTCAAAAGCTCTTATTACAGTAGTAGGAACTATATACTTATTCTCCACATTGTCTAGAAAGTTAGCCTTACATTTAAGTCTATCAGGATTTAAATTTCACCTCTGACACATATCAGTTTTGTAACTGACAACAAACACAACTGACTAGCAACTGACTGAAGCTGCCCTGGTCTCCATTTCCAGGCCAATGAATTGCCTGGGACTGACCAGACATTGTTGCTTCCAGCCTCTGGTCATTTTGTAGATCTCCCAAACTCTCCCCTGCAGAGATTCCCAAGCTCTTTTTATGGACTTTTGCTTTTTATATAAAACAACTTACCTGTGAAACAGTGAGATGCCCAACCCTCCCCCCAACTGTAGTCCAGTCATTCTTTCTGCCTTAGTACCCTATATAAACCCTTTTCCCAGCCTCCTCCTTGGCTACCCCTGCACTTGCTGGGTAGTGCCCTGAGCTGCAACCCACCTGCCCTGACTAAAGACTTCCATTTTGTTGTATTGACTGTTTTCATTTAAAACTCATGCTGACATAACCCTTAGCAAAACATTTAGCCTCTCAGTCCCATCTTCCCCAAACACTTACCTTCCATTCCAGTCTCTAAGATTAACTTATAGGATAGTTATTAACATGTGAACTTGCATTGGTAGAGGGATAGTTCTCACCTGATAACAATGAAATTACAAGTCCAAGGGGGCAGCTAGATGATGCAGTGGGTAGAGCATCAGCCCTGAAGTCAAAAGGACCTGAGTTCAAATCCTACCTCAGACCAAACACTTGACACTTACTAGCTGTGTGACCCTGGGCAAGTCACTTAACCCCAATTGCCTAAAAAAAAAGAAAAGAAATTATAAGTCCATGTAAGAAGGCCAAATCACAATCTTCTTCCCAAGGAGAAAAAAAGGAAGGACACACACACACACACACACACACACACACACACACACACACACACA